AAGACGTCAAAACAACTTTACTGGCAACTTCGGAATATCAAGGAACTTCGGCAAAACATTTAGGCCAGCATTCAATCAACATAAAACACTTTTCAAAGCATTAACTTAGCTCATTTGACTTTGTAAGCTCTAAGCCTGTTCAATTCTAAGTTACTCAAAAATTCCAAGAAGAGGGAATTAAAAGAAGAAAGAGAGAAAGGCAGAAATTATATAGAAAAGAGCAAACATAATTACCACTCCAGGTTCCAGCGGAGTGGTATGAATCTCTCATAGAGATTCAAAGAGTAGATAGGGTCAAGACATGCTGGCCTTGTGTCAGGTTAAACACCCTTTGGCTTTCCTGGGCCCTTCCCCAGGTGGGAGTTTGAGTCATCTGGCCACTCTGGGGCTGAACTGGGGCTCCAGGGGCAGAGTGTGGAGCATTTTCTGCAATGCTAGGGATTGGTGGTCACTGTGAGATTGGGATACGGGCTCTGGGGGATGAAGTATATGGAGGAATGTTCTGCCTCACCAGAGCAAGGCCTGACCTGCTGCTTTCCCTCACACACACCCCCAAAACATTTTGAGCGAACATTCCTTCCCGTCTCTCACACAAGTGAAGAATTCACAAGACAGGAAGGGTGTAATTTGTTATCTGTCTCTGAGGACATAGTGTTAGAGAGGAAGGTTGTAGTAGCACCTGAAGAGCAGAGGCTCTGTGGGGGGCTGTGGCTAAGCGTACCATGTTCAATACAAAGTGGGAAGGTGATCCTTGCTAGCTGGAGGTTAAAACAAGGAAGAAGATGGCCTTAGCCAGCCATACCCAGATGAGATCTGGGGAAATCAAAAATTTGAGAAACCAAAGGAAGTCAGTAAAATATGGGAGACTTGAACCTGGGGCATCTTTGAGAAGACCAGTGAAATTTTTGATGTGTGTAAGCCTAAATGCACAAGCATAGATACATATGAGTATAAAGCAGGAGTGCCCAGACTGTTAATTAGAAAACGAGGTGGGATAATCTAGTAGAACACGGTAATTTAATAATGAAGGAGCCTGTTAAATGACTGGTGTGTGTGTAAGCATCATTTGGATCTTTGCCTGTGGTTCTGGAGTCAAAAATCTACCATCAGCTAGATACCTATTTATCTCAGCTATGAGTACTTAACACGTAAGGCAGCAATTCTGTGAATACACAAGGATTTCAGCTTAAATGTTTAAGGTTTTCTTTGAAGTCTTGACATAAAAAGTTATAAATAGATCTAAGTGGTAACAATAATACAAGAATATGAATGTATAGAAGCTTACTTGTGGTTATAGATAGAATGAGATGTTATATCTATAAAAAAGGAGAATTGAAAGGAAAAAAAGGTAAATTTAAGGTAGAAAGCACCTTAGAAAATAGGAAATATAAAATAGAAAATAGGAAAAATATCCAGTCAGTTAGACTATTAGTTGAGTTTTTTAAATTCTGGAAATTTTTTAAATTTCTAAAGAAAATTGTTAGAAACTTTATCATAAAATACATTAAAACATGCTGGAAAAAACCCAGTAAGTTTCTGGTTTTGTCTATAATGATGAGTATTGGGGAGTTGGATGGCCTGGATAATATCTTTTGGTTTTATGTTCTACCATTTTATCTTTCATTTTACACCAGCATAAATCTGTCAATGTCTTAGGAAAATGCAAACAAAAATGGTATTTGGGAAAAAAACTCCAAATGTTTGGGGAAAAAAAAACCCAAAACAGACAAAGAAACCCCACAAAAACATCAAAGCTCTACAATGTTGTATAAGTGTATGAAAAACAGTGTTTATTTTCAGAATGCAAATCAATGAAGGGAAAGCTTAAATCTACTTTGGATAAATTAAACCCAGTGCTGGAAATTTCACAGAGAGAGAAAAGCTCTTTAAACCTTGACCATGTACTACTGGTAGCTTCAGATCATTGAAGACCTCCAAGGTTATGTCTGGAAGATAATCTTTGACAATGTTTTGATAACACCTGGTCATTTAAAATCTTTTTTAATTTCATATAACGTACATTACTTTAGGAATATCTGCACCAGTCTTGTTTATGCTACAAGACAGATTTTTAAAATAAATATTGTTTGGTGTTATCCTTGTATCTCTTTGTTCTATTCTCTCACAGAATCACAAGATGGTTGGGGTTGCAAGGGATCTTTGGTATTAATATTGTCCAACAATCCCTGCTCAAGCAAGGCCTCTAGAGCAAATTGCCCGCAGTTGTGCCCAGATAGCTTTTGAGTATCTCCAAGGATGGAGATTCCATGTCCTCTCTGGACAGCCTTACAGTGCTTGGTCACCTTCACAGTAAAAAAAGCATTTCCTGATGTTCAGAGGAAACCTCCTGGCTTTATGTCTGTTTGGGCCTGTGACCACTGGCCCTATAGTTGTGGAAGACTGAGTCTGACCTCTTTGAACTCTCCTTTCAGGTATTTGTATACATTAGTGAAATGTCCTGCCCTGCCCTTTTTCTTCTGTTGGCTAACAGTCCCAGTGCTCTCAGCCTGTCTTCACTCCATTTGTCATCTTCTGTGGCCCTTTGCTGGACACTCTCCAGTATGTTCATGTCTTTCTTGTACTGAGTAACCCAGAACTGTACACCACTACAGGTGGGCTCATCACTGTTGAGCAGACAGGAAAAATATTTTCCTTTGACCTATTATAAGCAATAATGCTTTGCCTGATCCAGATCAGATACCATCAATCTTTTTGCTGGCGTATGTTCAACTTCATGTACTTCTGGACCCCCAGGTGTTTTTATGCAAAGGTTCGCACCAGCTGTGAGAACACCAACATGGGTTGGATGCCTGGGTTTGTTCCTCCCCAGGTGCATGACTTTGCCTCTTGGACTTTATGAGGTTCTATTGTGCCTATTTCTTCACCCTGTTGAGGTCCTTCTAGAGTGGTGCGTCTGCCGTCCTGTTTGATGTCAGCTGCAGACTTGCTGAGGGTACACTGTACCACATCATCCAGATCATTAATGAAGATGTTAAACAGGATTGGACCTAGTATTGACCCCTGAGATAGATTGCTAATTACTGACCTCAAACTAGACTTTGTGCCACAGATCACTGCATTTGGGGCTTGGCTATTCATCCACTTTTCTACTCACCTTTCTGACAATTTGTCCAGTCCACACATCTTGTGGACTGCATCTTGTCTGCATCTTGTCCTCTAACAATGTCTTATGGCAGACAATGCTATGGGCTTTATTGGAGTCCATGTAGAAAACATCCACTGCTGTCTCCTCATCCATCAGGCCAATCATTTCTTCATAGAACTTTATTATGCTTTGGCCAAGCATGACTTCCCATTACTGAAGCCATGCTGAATGCTCCTGATGAATTCTTTGTAATGCACCTGGAGATGCCTCTGTTACCTTCCGTGGGGTTGAAGTGAGGTTGACAAGACTCTGATTCCCTGAGTCCTTCTCCTTGCCCTTTTTGAAAATAGGAATAGCATTTCCTTTCTTCTAGCCTTTGGGCTCTTCTCCCAGTTTTCATGATTGATCAAAAATTATTGAGAGTGGCCTTGCAATGACACCTGCCAGCTCCCTCTACACTTAGGTGTGGGTGCATCCCAGGAGGTGCATTCCAGGAGAGCCCAAGGGTTTCAGTATGTTTGCTTAGTTGTACTCAGATGATCCTCTGAGGTCCTCTGATCCTCTTCCACCTAGAGTACATCTTCCTTGCTTCAACCTTACCTCCTGGTCTCTGGTGTCTGGGATTCCTGAAGGCTGGTCTTGATGGTAAATACTGAATTGAAGAAGATGTTCATTATCTCAACCTTTTCCATAACTATGTTACCAGGTCCCCCATCTTGTTGAGCAATGGGCTCATGTTTTCTCTAGTCTTCCATTTATCACTTGTCTACTTAGAGAAGCCCTTCTTGTCCTTGACAACCCTGGCCAAATTAGTTGCATTTGAGCTCTATCTTCCTTAACTTTTTCCATGCTCAGGAGTTATTTATGTGTTCCTCCCTGGTTACTCATCCTTACTTCCACATTCTATATGCTTCATTATGTGTTTGAGTTTGGCTAGACTCTTCTAGTTCATGCATGCAGGCTTTTTGCTGGTTTTTTTCAGCTCTCTTGAGATTAGCAGAGGTGAAACTTGAATTTTAATCAAATTTCTTGTTCCCATTATCTAGGGCCTTATCCCATGGGACTCTTCCAAGCAGATATTTGAAGAGGCAAAATTCTGCTTCTCTGAAGCCTGGGGCTGTGATTTGCTTTTTACCGTCCTTTGTGCTCTCAGGATCTGGAACTCCACTATGTCATGGTCACTGCAGCCGAGGCTGCCTTGATTTTCAAATTGCCAACAAGCACCTCCATTTGTGCTTGTACCACTTGGAAGTGGAATCATCAGTACATTTCGGGAACCCCGATTTCTTGAATCACTGAGAAAAGTGATATCAACTCCAGATACTGGTTTGTCCTTGACAAAACTGGGGCAATATCCCATTAAGTATCCCTCTAAGATTTATTAGTGAGCTTTGTACCAGCCCTTCTTAAGGAGCTTCTCTTGTTATTTATGTTTTTATAAGCCATTATTTTGCTTATAATATCTGTACTAATTACCTGTCTTTTTATTCTTATTTCCAAATAAGTAAAAATATATTAGTGTTCAATTGATATAATTCTTTGAACAAAGAGGAGAAATTCATTTCTATGCAGCGGATCTAGAGTTATTTATCCTCCTTAAGAAGAGATGACTTCACAATCAGTATAAAAATACATTAATGACAGAAGAAACCATATTTTACACATTATATGTACATTTGTATAAAATACAAATACCACCAGATGTTGATCTCATCATGTTATGTAAAAGAAACTGTATATAACTTGGATTTGACTTTATAATAACATTAGTATTCCCCTACATCATCTTGAGGATTTTTTTATGCTTCATATTGATATATAAGAAGATGTTGAAGGCTGCTGACTTTTCTACAGAATTAATCTAAACTTTGATCTCTTTTGTCATACTGTGCAGGAGTTCTGAAGAGAGCTAGTGGGGAGTTTTTAATAGGAGAAACTAGAGCAAATGAAACCAGCGTGCTTCCTGAGCAGTTACTTCAGGTAGAAGAGGTGAGTGTGAAAAGAGTCGTACACTTTGTGTGGGGTTTTCTTTTGTGTCTCCAGTGTAGGCTTTCACCATGTTCATTATAAACACCTATTGCTGTAGTTTCATTACTTCAGCTTCTGTGATTACTTCTATGTGCAAAGTTTCAGTTTCGATGGATTAAAATCTTGTGGCATTCAAAGTAGTGGTTGGTATTTAGTAGTTATTAACAGAAAAAACTGTTAACAAAATGGAAAAAAATTAGTTAAATATGATAGGTTTCTTAGTAGTATACAAATCATCTCAAAGAACCTTAAAGAAAATTTATTAAGTTCTTAGAATTTGATCATAATGGTTCTTCCTAGAGGTATAGATGTCATATAATGTCCAGTTTTTCTGATGCCAACAAGCTACTGTATAATAAGCGCTGTGCTTTGTAGAATGTACATACAAGATTGTTTTAATCTGGCTCCCATTACTACAAAACACATTTTTATTATTGATTTTGTGGCACATAAATGCTCCAATTATCTCATATTTTATAATAATGGAATTTAATTTCTTAATGGCCTCATTTTGATGCTGAAATTTAAAAAAAATATGCTTTGGATTGATGTGTGAAACTAATATGTGTTACAAAGAAGAATATTTTCGGTAGATTAGGATGTACTTTATCCCCATTAAAAAAATTGAGGGAGTGTAAAAGTGTGTATCCATGGGGGCTGCCCCTGTGCTTACAAGAGCTGGATGTTGCTAGTGGGAAAAGGGAGAGGAAGGAGGACACAACTTTTAAATTGAAGTAAACTGGAAGGGCTTCACTTTGTAGCCCTTCATTCTCTTCCAATTTAGTATTATAGCTGCAGGAATAGTTAGATATCTGTCTTTATTATTTTCCTACTGTGCCCTCATGGTGGAGATATTTACTGAATATCATCTTATGTAATTAAAATATATCTCTTACAGTGGGGCAATTCTCAAATGGCCATTTCTGGAAAGGTTTAAGTCTGATATAAGTCATAAGAGCAATGCAAAGTCAGATAAGTCAAAAAGTAATGATGTCCTACTGTGTCTTCTTATGGCAACTCTTACACTTCAGATTACTGCAGAAGTCTGTGTTTAAAGAAGGCAAGGAACTGATGTAAACCACAGCCAAAGCCAGCCTTGGCCTAAAACTACAAATCTCTATTTAAACATTTTAATCTTTTCTAAATCCAGTTCTAGAGAAGTGAAATACACTGTGGCTGTGTTAAAACCAGCTTCTCCTAAGGGTTTCCCATTGAGATTCATGGTTAGTAACTTCCATTTGTTAACTTGCAGTGAAAATTGTTACAGGCTATATATTGCTAGATTACTTTTTATTATTACTATTGAAAATTCCTATGAATTCTTTCACTTTTTAAAGTAGAGTCGGTTAAAGATTACCAATTAAGTAAAGATGAAGCATGTTTTTATAAAAGCTGTTTTGTTTAAACAGGAATTTATTTTTTCCTAAAAATTTGATGACATGTTTAATGTTGCTATGCATTTTGTTGAGTGTAAATATTACTTTAGTATGATTTCAACGCTAGTGGACTATATTTTAAATTATTTAAATAATTTCAAAATGTGATGGTTTCCTGTAATTTAATTATGTGCATTTAATTTTCAAACTGTATTAACATTCAGTAAGGACTTTGGAGTTATTTAATTTTAATATGTGTTTCAGCCTATTTTACTGAGTTTTGGCTGGAGAAATGCATTTAAAGACCTGTCTTCTTCTGTGGCTCACTGTATAACAATAGCAATTGAGGATTTTTCATCTAAAATTCTTCAACATGAGCAGAAAGAAGAGTTTTCAGCTGCAGGCTGTGCAATGAGTCTTGTAAACAACCAGCAAATGAGGGAGTCCTGCAGAGCAGTCCAACAGGAGGAGCAACCAAAACGAATTGCTAAGGCAGGTATCAAAAGATCTGAAGTTTGAAGGGAGACAGAATGCCAAGGCTGTTTGCCATCTACACTTTGAAGTACTTACAGTACTATTAATATTCTATATCTTATATAAATGGAATTAAAAAGAAAGTGAGAGGCATTACAATGTGAAGCTGAACACAGCTTTATACAATAGCCTATAGTTGGTACTTGAAAGCATTACCTTTTAAACTTCACTGGCATTTTTTTTCAGACAAAAAGTTCTAAAGCATTCTGATTAGTATCTGCTCTGTTACCAAGTGGTTAGATGGGAAAATGTTGAAAGCTTTGAAATATGGCTATAGAGGGATTTCCTGTATTCATATCATTAGACATGCCATTCAACTAATTGGCATAACCAGTTAAAAAAAACAATTTTGAGTTATTTGATTTGGCTGAAAGGTCATTTATTAACTAAATTCCTTTTATAAGGAAAGGTATGTTTGAAAGACTTTTTCTAGTAAGATCTACAACTATGCTAGCAGATTTGGAATGCTGTTAATGAATGCTTGCTTGAAATAACACATGAGCATTGGGGAGATAATTTTAAGGAGATTAATGTATGACTTTATGAAGAGATGACACATTTGTTTCCAAATCTGGTGTAAAGAAATGTGTTTGTGTATTTTTCAAAATTAATTAGTTTAGAAAATTATCATTATTTACAAGGAATTAACCTTGTGCTTTGAATGAGCATTTAGTGACATCAAAACCAAAGGAATGCATTACTAGCATAAGATGGTTTTAATTTTTCCCCTGATATAGAATATGCACCTTTAAAGCAGGAAGGAATGAAAGAATATTTAATTTACTTTAAAAAATGTTACTCCTCTGTTTAACAGATTAAAATATTTGTAAAGCTGATTCAATATATTTATGTTTCGTGCCAATTTCATTATTCAATCATCTGACCCTAGAGTGTATAAATTAAGCAGTACTGTCAGAATACAAATAACTTGGTGCCACATTTATTTCTCTCAGTTTTGTTCTGACATCATGGAAGAACTCGACACATTGCTTCCATTGGCTCTGGCCTGCAGAGATGATTCTCTACAGGAAATAAGAGCAAACTTTGTAGAGGCCTGCAGCAAAGTGGCAACGGCTGTTCTGGCAAGACTAGAGGAGAAAAGCAAAGATGTTCCCTTGAAGGCTCCCCTGCAAGACTTGTATGCTGCCCTTTCCACGGCGATATATGTCTTTCAGCATTTTACAACGTACAGCAATTTAATGAGAGAAACAAGCAAAAAGTATGTCCTTTTTACTTAAAATGTTTAATTCAAATGCAAATAATATGAGCGTTCATTCCATTTTGGTGATACAGTGTGCTGGTAGTTTCCCAAATTGCATCATATTTTTTAGCACATGCAGTATGTGTACTATTTTATGGAAATGCCTGAATCAACCTGATAGTCCACAGCAGCCATTGCAAGACAAATTATTTCTGTGTAGGATCTGCATTTGATTTGCAGATCGGGTTTTTTTTAATGATTAAATTTGAGAAAATAGGATTGTCCAGGGAACTGAATGTACTCTGCTGTCATATAAAGTGCTAGGGCCTTGAGTTCCTTTTCTGATCTTTGCAATGCCTAATATTCATAAGATCTGCAGGACATAGCAGTCATAGAGGACAATATAAAAATACATTTCTGTTCTTTTTAACACCATGTGTATTCAGACATGTGAAGAAATACATACAATATAATGCATACAATACATTGTAGTTTTATAATTTAGTTTATTATTACATGCAGAAAAAAAATTAAAGCAGATATGAAGTCGGAGTGTAAAGTCAAAGGCAGTGTTTGACCTGGGAGGAAATACAACTGCACTTGCTTTTAGGAGATTTTCTCTTAACACATTTGTACCAGGAGGCTGTTGGTCCACATATTTCCAGCCATGTGCAATTTAAAAGTAGAAACAGCGGTTTTGGTGAGGGACCCTGAAACAGCACAATTTCTAAGAAAAGTATGATTTCTGAGTGGGTATATGCACTGTTGAGCTGCTTTCCCTCTGATGTTTTACTCTCTTGCATGAAGTGTATCACTGTGAGTGGAAAGTCTGACCTAGAATATTGCTCAATAATTCTACTCAGATGTATTATCAAAGAGTTTTAGTACATACCTACCAAGAGCAATTTCGGTACTCTGTGCTTACGTGTTTTTTGTCACACTCAGTGCTGATGTAATAATTGCTGATGCAAGAATGCTGCAATTAAAAACTCCAAATAAGTGAATGTCAAATGTACTTGTCTCAGAAAATAGGATGAAGTAATTTATTTCTCAGTGATTGGTTAAATGACAAGTTATAGACAAGCAGACATATTTTGAGAACTTTTGAAACAAAAATTTACAAACCTGAATGCTAGGTTCAGGACCAAGAGGAAATGAATGATTGATACCTATTAATAAAAACTATTTGCAGTACTAGGGATTGTTACCTCCTAGTGCATAGCCTTTCATTCATTGTCTTTTTAATGATTCTCTCTGAAAAGACCCCTGTTCCTAGTGCCTATCCAAAAATGTCAGGAATTTATCAACACTCTCCAGTTTCAAGTTACGAACTACTGCATCAGAGTTTGTGCTACAAGCATTTTACAGGATGCTGAGAGCCACTGCTGGGATGACTACAAAGCTTTTTACGAGGTATGAGGTTAAGTTTACTATGGCTCCCTTTTACAAAATGTGTTTTAGTGTTTGCCAGCTCACTGGCTAATCAGAAGCATGAGATCAGCATTGTTTTTATATAAGGATTATTGGAATGTACTATTTTGAAATATCTATTATTGCAGGCAGGTGTCTATTTGGAGATGATGTAGGAAAACATAGTCATTTAAAGATGAGATAGATTGTTACCATGGCATGTTTGTGTCATTTATTTCATAAAATACTCATTGTGTGTCAAGGCGTTTATATAGAACTCAGTAAAGAGGACACCATCACCTTAATCTCTAAGAACTTTGCACTTCTTTTAGAAAGTGTGATATATGAAGATCTTTTTCTGGGAATTTTTTTATCTGATTCTTTGATTTTTATTTTCAATTGTTTCCCTTTTTACTTTTTGTGAGTAAAGGGTGAAACAAAGAAACACGTTCAGTGTAGTTACCTAAAGCATTCAACAATGTATTTTTGAAATAGCCAGTGCCATTTCACCTGCATCTTGAAGTAATGGGTCTGATCTATAGCTATAATCCTTATAATTCTGATAAAAAATTAAGATAATTATTTCATTTATTGGATTTTTTTTCCTTCATCCTAGTTAAATACAAACATAGGTTGACATACACTGTTTGAAATTATTTTCACTTAATTGCAGGGTGATGTATTACATGGATTTTTAATCAATAATAACTGAAATCTACTGGAGACAAAGTCTTGTCCTTCCTTATATAATTTTCTGTGTGAGACAATTAGTGTGTTCTGTTAAGCATTTTCTAGAATTCTTACATGAGAGAAAATTCCGCCCAATAGATGTAATCTACAGTTACCATATAAGAAGCTGCTCAGTCAGTGACAAAATCTTTGCTGGAGAGGGCATACAAACCATAGAGTAATTTATCAAAATGTCCGTCTCTCAAAGACAAGTAAATAAACATTTCAGTTTTGTTTGAATGATAGATGATAAGGCAGTGGGTTTTGGCAACTGCTGAATCATGGTATGAACTTCTTTGTCTGTAGTGCCTATGGTGCTGTGTCCTGTTTACTGGTGATCCAGTAACTTCACCAGTTGTCTCACAAGAAAGAATATGGAGTAGATAAACAGTTTTATCATTACTGAGCAGAACTGATGTGTTAGGAGGAGTGAGGAAAACTGGTGTCTCAGCTCTGTATGTTTGCAGGATTTGAGGTGTATATAATTTTACATCGTCACTCCTCTTTTTACTGGTCCATGGGAGATGCCCCAAGGCTGGACTGTGATCTGCTCTGAGTTCCTTCAGGAGGCATACTGCAGAGCAGATGTTACTTCAGTTGATCTCTTGTAGGCATCCTAAATGGAAGAGATTGGATTAAGATCTATTGCTTCTTACAGAGGCAATTCCCTGCTGAAACTTCCAGCAGTGAGAGGTGGCTTCTTCCAGTGTAGGAGCTCAGCGGGAAGAGTGCGCCACTGGGCCAGCTCTTCAGATTATGTTTTTGAATGAAGCTCTTAGTGTAGCAGACATCTGCTGTAGCTGTGGGAACTTACGTTTTCTAACAGGCAAAGAATAAAGAATTGTCTGTTCAGAGGTAATGCTGAGTGGCTTGTGTAATAAAACAGCTGCTTGTTTCCTCATATTTAAGCTAAATAAAAGCTCCCATCTGTTTTTATTATATGAAGCCTGCAAAAATAGCAAATGTTTATCAGTGGAATTGTCCAGAAATGGCAATAAATAGAAACACAGGTCAGAAAAGGGGAGTGAATCTTGTTTAAATCTTCAGTGATATTGTTATTTCTGCAGTGGAGATAAAATACTAAAAAAGGGGAAAAGAGCTGTTACTTAAATAAACCAAAGCAGAGAAAGTGAAACAATTTGTGTTTATAATTACAGAGTTAAAAAGTAAAACTGGTCAGCAAGCTTGTTTATTTTGTTCTTTGTCATAATTTTTGCCACTTTTTAATATAAAATGTACTTCAAGTATTGTGTTAGAGGAAAACTAAATAGTGACAACTTCCAATAATTTGCTAATGCTCATGCTAATATATTTTTTAAAAAGCCAGATTATTTTTTATTTTATTGTTAAAGAGTGCCTATCAAATTCTGAAAGCATTGTAAAAATTGCGGGGTTATTTTATATTTCTAATAATGCCAAAATATCAATAAATTCCTAAAATATTTTTCAGTTCCTTTGGGATGTGGGAACTGGGGATTGAAGTCTCTGTTCTCTAAAAAGCTTCATGATAATGCTATTTGCTGAATAGGTATTAGTTGAAATATTTAAATGTGAAACGTATTTCCTGGGTAATTTTTAGAATTATTATGGAGTAACTGCTGTGATTTTGACTCCTGCATATTTATTTCTGTGTCTTAATGGGACAGATCTGTTTAGACAATGAAATATTAATGCCAATGATGTTTCCTTTCCAGAAAATATTTGGTTTCAATACATCCAAATTACAAGACGAAAAAATATCTTAGTAAAGCAATCTAGATATCTCATATTGTCAGTTTAATAGTT